GGTCCAGTCCCTTTATTTTACAGACAAGGAATTTGAGAATCAGCGTGAGGTTAAGTACTTTCTGTAGGGTCAGAAAGCTAATTAGTGACAGAGTTAACAATAAATCACTTCCATGAAAAGACAGGCTTTCAAAGTGAATTCAATTACCTTGTACCCTCATCAAGTGGCTGTTAAGAACACCCATGTAGCTAGACAATCTCCAGTATTTCTGTGAAGTAGATGTAACCCAAGACGATCTAAAAAGAACTTTTCGACGCTGAGTGATCTAAGTCAACAATTTTTTTAATGTGCTAATTTAAGTCAACTCATTGTTAGGGCCAGTGTTCCTACCAACATGTTTTGCCCAAAGTTAAGTATCAGCCGTGTAAATGCCCAAGTATTTTCATCTCTTCTCTAGTAGAAAAAAGATAAGTAAAATTTCATACACACTTGGATAAAAGGTATAATTATTTTGGTATTTATAAACTGTGAATGACAAATTCCCAAGGAAGAGGATTCTTTTAAATTTAAAGCATAATTCAAGAATCATCCATTCATCAATGGATGACAAAATCACAGGTGCCAGAGGTAATGCACAGGAATTAAGAATTTACTAACCAAATATAGTGTTACCAAATACTTAAAAGGAGTGGAAAGCATTTTCACATGAGGCCTTCTTTGAAAGTTAATTTCTTTCAACAAACAAAATAAATCTGCCTAAAGATTCACAGATTTGCCTTTAGGAAATACTAAATTAGTAAAAGATGAATGGGAAATATCAGTAAGCCAAAAAAAGTTATACAAACTTAGAATGGAAATGGGTAAAAATACAAACAACCATTCAGTCAACAGTCAAGAGCAAACACCTACTAGTCTGCCACCTAATAAAGTGAAACAGAAGGTGAGCACATGAAAAAACAATGAGACTACAGAGGAGAGTCTGTGGAAATGCATCCTGGTGACAAACCAAAAACCTATTTCCATCAGGGGGAAAATCACATCAATTAAAATATATTTTGAAATATTTCATGGGGGGAAAAGGAAGAATATATACTGACAGAGACGAGATCATTCTAATAGTTGTCAAATCATGTAGTTTGAAATTAAGAATTCCCACAACTGACTCAGTTTAACTCTGAAATCTTACACATTTTCAGAAATAGAAGCCCTCTATCATACGTGACATTTCAGAACGTGTCAGTGCTAAAGTTCTGCATTTGACGGTGTCCTTTCAGTAAAAGGAAGGTGTGGGCGATGAACATAAAGAAACTGGGCTGGGCTGCAATGTCCATTTAACATAGTAGATACAGTAAAATGTTCATGCTATGTGTCTAGAATAGGAAAGTCAATTTTTGAATGACTATTTCACGGCTATACAGTACCTTGGCTTCAAGGGCATTTCACGGTTCTTCAATGACAACCTTGCTTAGATTTCCCCAATTAAATCATTCAGATTTACGAATGCCACCAGCAGAAAAGAATATTAGCATCTCATTTCATGGCAAAAAAAAGATGTTCTGTTCAGTAGCAAGTATAAAGCGTAGCAATTTCTTTCCTTCCTGCATCTACTAATGAAGAGAATGACTGACAGTGTTTTGTTCGCCTGAACAAAAGGTTTCTGGGCAACAGGAAGTTCTCCGGAGGGCTTCCCTAAATGAAAGAGTGACGATCTGCGTCTCATTTAAAACTCGGACTTTCTAGAAAGTGTTGGCTGGTTTGGGATTCCTCAGTGACCCAGGAACCTAACAAGACTTGATATTAACAACTTGATATTAACAACTGTGTATCGCTAGTAATTAAATTTTATTTAATTACTTTATTTAACAAACACTGTGTACCAGGCATTGTTCTAAATACTTACAAATGTTAAACTCATTTGTTCCACTTAATAGTCATAAGAACCCTATTAGGTGAGAACTATTATGCCCATTTTCCAGATGAGAAAACCGAGGTACAGGGAAGTAAATAATTTTCCCCGAGGTGAGAACAGGTAAAAGTAATCTTCTCTTAAAACTCAGCAATGCTCAACCTTTTTGCATGGTGCTCTGTCATCTTCTGGGCCTCCTCACTAGCAGTTTCCAATAATAAATCATTCAGAATGCAACACTGAAAACAAATGGCCTAATAATAATAGTTGGGTTTATTGAGTTTTCTATGTGTCAGATACTGTGCTAAGTGTTAATAATTTTTTATAAAAAAACTGATATTTAATCTTCAGTATAAACAATCATATAAGGAAGGTACAATTCCTATTTAAATAATAAAGTTAAGGTGTGGGTGATGGTTAACTTTCCCATAGTTAAACAACTAGTAATGGAAAGAGAGGATTCAAACCTGGTCCCACCTACTATACCATGAAGCTTACTCGCCTCCCTCTTAGGAAGCTGGTCCTTTAAGGAGAAATGACTAAGAAATGATGAGTCAGTCTGGCTGTTTTTATTTTTTTCCTTTTTAACATAACAGGCCATCAACAACTATTTATTAAATTGAATAGGACATATCATGTTTAAACAGATGAGTTAGGTGCTTAATTTATCTATGAGAATTTCCTGACAATTCTCCTAAAAAAAAGAGTGTGTTAAACCAATGGATAACCCCAGCTTCTAGCAGAGTATACCCTGTCACTGTTGGCAGGTGATAATGATATTACTATTGACTAAAGAAACTGGGAAGAGTCACTTTCCTCTGAAAATTTTAAATTTAGGTAAAGTCACATATTTGGCAAAGCTTAGCTAGGGGCATGTTTACATATGAGGAAACTGGCTGGACAGTGGGCCTCAAGGCAGAGAGACAGAGATGACCTCATATGAGGAGTGTGGTTTTAATATAAATTATCAAGAATTTTCTTTTTTACAATCTCCGTATGTCTGCAAGTTTGACGGCACATTTTCAATTCACAATTTTAAACATTTTTGCAAAGATCAAAATACAAGCAGCTCAGGAATTTATTATAAGTGGTATTCTTAAATAATAATAGAATTTTAAAATCTAGCCACCAACCCTCTGCCCCGAAAAAAACAATAGCTAGTCTCTGACCTGCTGCCCTTCCCTCAAATCCCCTTTGCTGGGGTAAAGCACTTTTGCCCTTTTATAGACCTCCAAACTGCAAAAAATGCTCCAAAGTCTTTCAAGTTACTGAGAGCTCTCTTCATCACTAGTGAAGACAGCAATGCAGACCCCAAAGTACTTCATTCTAAGCACCCCCTTAGATAACAGATGCACATGTATCTGAGTACTACTGGAATATGCTTGTGATGGGAAATCTAGCTTAGAATTCTTAGATGAGATACCAAGCAAATGTCCTGCATGGAGGGTCAGAATATATACTGCCTTTAAGTGTAGACAATTATTTTTATTTCATTCAATTTATTAGTATTAATAATGATAAGAATAAAAATGCATTGGTGTAAATGATTAAGGAGTTTGCATCCCATCAATTAACATTTGCTGAAAAAAATGAACGAAGGACCTATTTTGTGAGACATTTGTTTTTATTTTTGAGCCTACGGTTTTATACATGTCCGTTAAGCCAGGTTCCAATTAAACTTACTGCAAATGACACAGTAACATATGACTCACAGTATATATTAACTATAACATTCTCTTTTCTAAGAAAGACTTCAAGGAAAAGTCTTTCTGATGCCAAGGAAGCACCAGGAAAGAACTTAGGCACTGTATTAGTATGTGACGCTGGAATTTGCATTCCCCTTTACATGTAAAAAATAGAAAATTACACCGCAGAGGTTAAGTGACTCATCTGCACTCCAATACTGACAGTGTCTTCTGATTGCAAAAATATTCCACAAATATTTAGGACAACTTACTAATTCAATAAACATTTCTCAACCTGTTTCTGTTGCCTCTCTAAGTAGTTATGAATCATTCTTTAAATGGAAAGCAGGCATGTGCCACAGGACCAATATATTAGAAATGAACAAATCTAAGTGGCTTCACAGAGTGTACTCAGTGTTTCCATCTCTGCCAAAATGCTTTGAGGTTGGTAGGGCAAGTGTTATGATTGACCACCTTTTACAGATGAGGAAATCAGGGCCTACAGAGAGCGTTCGTTACCCCAGGGCGACTTACCTGAGACACACAGTTAATTAAAGAGTCGACCTGCGAATCGAACCCACATGTTTTCCTCTGGAGTCCAGAACCCACAAGTTTGCTCCTTCCTCACATCCACACTGCTTATTACCCAGTCTGAGGGCTGACAAAAAGTTGGCAATGTCTGGCCTCACAAATGTTTACCGTATTTAACATGCACTATTTAATTCTATCTTATTCTTGCCTGTGTCTTGGTCTTGACTCCTACAATCTCACTGTAGGTTGAGACCATGGAAATCTTCAGCCACCATAGAACCGCCGAACAATTCCTAGCACAGAGCCAAGGACCTCTGATTTAAAATACTTGTTCATTCACCAACTGGAGGCAAAAGTTTTGGGAGGCCTATCCCTGAAGGAGTGGGAGGGAATTATATGCCACAGGCAAACTGGGCTTAATTACTACACAATTCTGTATTTTCAAAATTCTGTAGAAATTCACTAATTTTCTTGTTTTCCTACTTTCCAAAATACTGTAACTATTATTTTTATGACAATATTCCATATTTTCAATGAAGCAAATTCTCTCAAACAATTTTGGTGGGGGATGTAACCTTCGTGGATATAATTTATCAATATATAAACATATTTTTAAAATTGCAATTCCAACAATTCCAATTGCAGAAGTGTTCTCTGAGAAGTAGCTGGAGGTGTTCAAATGCACCCCAAACATTTACCTTTAACATGTAAAATTAGGAGACAAAAATCCAAAAGACTAGCTACAATCCAAGCTTTCTCCCTAAATTCAGCGACTCTTAAGACAGTGTGTGTGTCAGGTAAGCCAGTTCTTTGTTTTCTAAATAACTTTCATCAAATGGAAACTCATTTCTATATATTTTTTATCATTTTCATTTTGAGAACAACAGTTTCTCTTCCACGCATACAAATTAAGTTTAGCCTGTGAGTGAGCCGCATACCTTTATTACATGATGCTTTTCCTGGAACACAGGAATCTTAAACATCTGGCACCAATATGTTGTACCTTTATTTGGGATGGGGACCTGTCTTAATAAAAAGGGAAAGAGAACACAAAGTCACATTCTCTTGACAAGCAACAAGCACAACAAGTAATAACTCTTACACACTTTCAATAAACCCACTCTTATAGGCATAAAAACCGAAGAAACTTACGTTCTGATTTACCAGGTTAAAGTACGGTACAGCTACAGACACATTGGTTTTCTCAGGATTCAACAGCCTCAGACTCTTGGTGCCACGATTGGAGCTGTGGTACTTGGGACCATCTGCTCCCACATCTTCGTGGTGATAGGCCCAGATCACCTTCACAGTGCTCTCCTGGTGACCAGACATGGGCATGATTATGTGTCGGGACAGCGCTTCCCCCACCACTGAGTTAAGTTTAAAGAACTCTATTTAAAGCAAGATAAAGAAGAAAAGGGAGTGATAACATTTGGAATTCTCTAACATTAATTGTGTAAATGTGATTCAGCCATTAAGTGTCCGAATAGACAAGCTCTGGGGTGGGGTGAGAAGTTGTCTCTCTGCAGGCAAGGTTATGTATTCCAAACAGAGCGAAGGACAAGTGACCGGCAGGTGTGCTTCATGCACGAGAAACAGCAAATCGCTGTCATGCTAAACCTCCAAACCAGCAACTGGTAGTTACCAAGCAAATATTCTTGTTAAGTGGCAGGGATTTGGGGAAGTTGAAACCTGTTTTAATGCTATGAACATTTTAGGGAAAATAAATAAATAGAATGAAAATTAAAATTACTTTCCAGGGCAGAGTTTTTACTTTCACAGGCATTAGCCCAGTTACTTGTATGAATTGACCAAAATGCAAATACAGGAGGAACTTCTGATTCTCGGTTTGTTTGTTAGCCTTGAATTTATCTAATAGTCATTTTATGACTCCTAGGACTTTCTAAGGAATCATTCTGCTATTCATCTTGATTTTAGGAGTTCACTGAGATGAATCAGTTACAGATCAGACGAACTGCTGTATCCCAACTAGGAGATGTACTGTTATATGAAATTGGTTTCCATTCAGCAACCAAGAGAGATTGCCCAGAAAGTGGTGGAGCAGGGGGGAGGGCTTGCTGGGGTATAAAGAAATTATTCAGTCTTCCCACAGATAAAGGTATCTTTGCCAGATCTTTGTAATAAGAATTTTGAAAAATAATAATACAGCAAAAAGCTATTTATTTTAAAAGCTATATTCTTTCTTAATAAGTCAAATGACTATAATTATTATTCTAATTAAACTATAATCGCACTATATATTACATAAAAAGTGATCCATGTCTTTGCATGTGTTTTTTCTTCTTTTTTTACTCTTTAAGCTGAATATTAATCAAAACAGTTTCAGATTTTTACATTCCCATTTTCAAGGCTTTGATTTACCAAATAAAAGAGATAATTTTATTGGTTCATACAAAGTGAAATTGATCTAAGAAGTTTGTGGAAACTTCCAAAGTACCACATAAATTATGTAGTCTCTAAATATTTAATTTGCATATGTATAAAGGTATTACTTTTCGCATGAGGTCTGACAATAAGAAATCTTGTATAATATGCTGATGGGCAATTTTAATCAGTTTACTATTCATCTTGATTTTAGGAGTTTACTAAAATGAATCAGTTACAAATCAGATGAATTATATTCAGTGTCATACTTCTCTGTCCTGTACACATTTCTTTCGATCTTTATCGTGTATTTTCAAACAGTATAGAGAAGAAACCAAAAATCTCTTCTAAGTCAAATCATACACACTTTAAACAGCTCTTCAAAATTTTAGATTCACACAAAAGTTGCCTTTATTGATATTTATAGGCTTAGATTTTTTGTGTGGCTTATAAAGAGAATTCAAGAACATTCCGCCAAAGACTGTGCGACCTTGCTATCAAAGGTTATTTTTAAATAACTCGCTCCTTTTATTCCGTAAAGGGTTTCTCAGCTGTAACGGGACATTTCTCCATGCATGCATTCCCTCGGAGGCTCCTCACCGTTATGGTCTTGTCATTTATGTCGCACGTATGCAGTTTTCTGGTAAATTCGATCACTGTGTGCGTGCTGTTTTCCATGGCGTATTCTAGGTGATAATCTTGCTGAACATCCTTTATCAACTCCCTATTTTCATTTGTAAAATAGTCCTGTGGAAAATACGGGAAAGAAAATCAGGATATCCTAAATTCAGAAAGAACGAATTTAGATTAAGACCACTCATAGGACCTGAAAAACAACAACTGATCCTGGGTTTGTTTATTACAAAACCCTGTAACTGTAATCATTTTTTAAGTCCTGAAAATTTCTAAGGGCTGGAAGATCCCAACTGGGGAATCAATTCCCTAGGAAACTGGCCCATCTTGAACTTCTGGCCCTTCAGGAAAAGGTGGTGTGGATGGATAATACCATAGTGTCAGGAGAGATGGAGCATTTGAGGTCACTGTAGTACTTTCATTGATCACGCAAATCAAAAGAGGAACTGTGAAAGTGCAATAACTAGCTTATATAAGCAATTCGAATGAAAAATTCCCGTGAAACTGTGATTTTCCCATTTTTTATTACATAGATTTTCAATATGGAAATGAAATAACAGTGCCTATGGACAACAAGGAATTTAGATAAACGAACTGTGCCTTTACATGAAGCTCACATTTCATTACATGAATCAAGCAATCACGGTTTTTGCAAACAAAAAGAACATAGTACAAAATGCCATCAGTTCAAAGAGTAGAATAATTATCCTAGTCTTACAAACATGTTTCTAAAACCATTAGTCCCTCAAAATATCCAGCTAGCTTGCCAATTTTCCATTTATTCTATTTCCATTCACCAATACCAATTCCTTCCAGTTATTCTACTTTTCCTGGCTTTTCAGATAACTTGGCTAAGAAAATGGGAGAAACGTCGCTCAGGTTTCACTAAAATCCTCGAGTTCATGTGCCCTGTGTAAACTGAGTGTTCAATGTGTAGAAAAGACGGCTGCCAATTATGTTGAGGTTCAGACTCCTGGAAACATGTGATTGTCTAAAAGAGCTGATATCTTCAACCTTCATAAGGGAAAACATGAATGGATTTGATTAAGACTAAAATTGAAATTCGAAACATTCCATTACATTCCCCCCCATTTTTCAATATTTAAGCCCTATTTGGAAACATACCTTCAGGTTAGCTATCTAAATAGTATTATTAGTTACATGTCTACTTCGGCTGGCCCTTAATAATGCTTGGAAATCCATGTTACTCTTTTGCTGTTTTCTCAGGAGACCTCCCAAGACGAATATCCTAAGCCTTCTCTGTACAAGATGCCAACATTTCCCCACCCTCAGTTTATGATCATATGTCTTGCTTTATTGAGAGAATTTCAGTTATAATCCATGAGAGTTCACATCCTGCCTTTTTTCTACCCTAAATAATATTTACTTTATGAAATCATAAAACATAGTCAATTTAAAAGAAAGCCTAAAAAGAGAAAATGAAAACAAAGAGCAGATGGGATAAGTAGAAAACAAAAAGATGTAGATGAAGTAAAAAGAAATATTAAAACAGACCCTACAGACACCAAAAGGTTAATAGTATTATGCACACCTTGATGCATAAAACTTGGATAATTTAGATAAGAAACAGGCAAACTCCACAAAAGACACAAACCAGCGACTTAGGAAAACAGATACTCTAAATAGCCCTATAATCTACTCATGGGCTATAACCTACCTACAAAGAAAATTCTAAGCCAAAGTGCTTTTACTTGGGATTTTACCAAATATTTAAGGAAGAGGTAATATCAATCCTTCACAAACTCTTCTAGGTAATAAATAAGGAAATGGCACTTCCCAACCCATTTTTTGATGCAAGCATTACCCTGATACCAAATCAAAGACATTACAAGAAAATTTATAGGTCACTATTTCTCATGGGCCTACAGGCAAACTTTCTTAAAAATATATATTAGCAAAAAGAACCCAATGACATAAAAAAAAGGATAATATATCATAAGCACACAAAGTTGGTTCAACATGAGAAAATTAATCAATGCAATTAATTGTATCAAAAGTCTAAAAAAGAACAACCATCTGATCATCTTGATAAAAGCAGAAAAACCATGAAACATTCATCCACGGTAAAATCTCTCCATAAACTAACAATAGAAGGGTATTGCCTTAAACTTATAAAGGGCATCTGTAAACACCTTATAGCTAACATCATACTTAATGATGAAACACTAAATTCTTTCCCTCTAAATCTGGGAACAAGTCGGTCCTGGGAACAAAGCAAGCCTCAAACAACTTCGAGAAGCCTCTACTGTTGACTGTCCACCTCTGAGAGTCAGTCTCTGTCATTCTCAGCCCCTAACATGAACATCAAAGTTCTCTTTTTGACATTATAATGCTCTGTTTTCATACTTCTTCCTTTGGGAATCTCATCTACTCCAAGAGTTTCCAATTGTCACCTTTATTCAGTATCACATATCCAAAAGTCTACTGGATACCTGCACTTGGAAGTCTTATTGTCATCTCAAATGCAATGTATCCGAAATTATATTCACCTGCAATCTGTAAGACTAGTGCTCTTGATTTTCTTTACTTACACTGCCGTTCTCCCAGCCATCCAAATTCAAAACCACATTCTTCTCTAACTTCTTCCTCTATCACTCACAACTCCACAGATAGCCCCTGCTCCCATCATGTCCTCCTCTGAAAAAATAACCAGCCTTTGCTTCTACTCCATCACAACGTCTCCTATCTCAGTTCACTCTACCACCTACATATTTGTGTCAAGCTCTTCCTTCAAAATCACTCTGTGCTAATACATTTAATTGAACAGTATACAGTACTTGAATCTATAATTTAGATTCAAGTTTCTCTAAAATTCAGCCTAATCTGATTTCCCAAGATGTCTATCATTCATCTTACCACATGACCTCTCTTATCTATTTATTATTCCCCTTAAATATTCTGCCTTTTTCTAGCTCTTTGCTTTTGGTCACATTGTTCTATCTCCCCTGCTCTCCTGACCCCACAGAGATATCCTCCCCACCAGCTCCATCCATTAAAGCACTTCCTTCTCTTCCAGACTCATGACTTCATCTTCTCTAAAAAGTTTTCTTTGATCATTCCGATGGCAGTGATCACTCCCTCTCTGAATCCGTGTTCCTCTACCTGCATTCCCGTGTAGCACGCAACATATTCTAGACACCGCATTATCTTCCCAACCACCTGATAGCTGCCTAGAAATACACACCTAATCTTGTTAACCAGTTATTAATTTGTAATTTTAGAATAGTTGTTTACATTGTAAATAGAACAAAAAGGGGGAGGTAACAGATTATTTTCTCACTTGCTCTCAATTATATTTACAAAAGGTTAAGATCTGAGATGGAATGTGTTTAACCAGATGCTAGGATGAGTTTGGGTGTGTATGATCGGCCATGCAAACACATCTGGCACCGAACTCTGGGGATGTTGTTATAACCTTTTAGCCCCTAAATGGATATGAATCTTATGAAACTGACATCAGCATTTAGGAAAAAAAGTTTATGCATGCAAATGCTCTTTGAGATCCTTTTACAAGAGAAGGGCACTCCCTACCTATTTGAAAGGCAAGAAAAAAATGATCTGAGAGAGAGAAACCAGGTTTTAGAATATTTTCTAATGTTAATTCATATCGTCAATGCCTAATAGAGTGACTTGCACAGAGCAGAGGCTCATTAAATGTGTGTAATTTTAAAGAGTACATCCTGCCTTTCCTTTGCTAAATCTAAATGAAAATAAAAAATAAGAACCCAAGCACCTTCTTCCAATATTCACATCTTTGTGGTATAGGAATAGTTTAACTTTGGTGGGAGCAGGATGTCCCTCAGCAGTGCCTTTTTTCTTCCTTTGCCCTACAGTGATAAAATACATGGTCTATAATGAAACACAATCTTAATGATGTCAATATTATACAATAAAAAATGGTACATTGGCAAACCTTAGAAGAACAATTAAGTGAGGCAAGAGAAGAGAAAAAGGCCCCCCAAAAAGTCAGGTCCCAGATTTCCTTTCCCTCGACTATTATTGCTTGGAGGGCGAGAAGGAGGAGGGAGGGGAAGAAGGGAGAAGTGAGGGAAAGAAAACAAGTCGTTCAAAGACCTGTCAATCTGAAAAATCCTTCCTGCAGACAGACTAAACCTCGGAAAGTACGTTCAGTGAGTAAGAGTTTCCTGACAGTGTGACAAAGGGATAAAGTTATTCAATTAAATCATTAAATGGAATAGTTATTTTGTAACTATCATCCTCTGGGGGGGAGGGGAATAGAGAATGAAACTGACAGTAAAACATCAGCCAAGTAAGAGTTCAAATATCGCTAACATCGCCTATAAATTTATATTCATGAGACCATACCGTAGTACTTAAAAGATATTTAAGGAAATTTCCCAGATCATTTTTACTGATTTTCACCTTTAGAATTAGAACCGAAAGGCGTCCCTCACTCCCACTTCCAGTCCCATTTAGCAAGTGGACCCAGAGGCAGCTCTCCTGGAAATCCATGGTGAAGGCCATTCCTCCCCTACCTTCCTACAGTGCCTGATACTCCAGGGCTTTTAAAATAAAAATAGGAATTTGATCTCAGTGCACTCTCATTGTCATGGGACAGCCAGCCATTATAAAAATATAATTGCATGATATGTGTATTAAATGTTATATATTTTATAAATATCACATAAAATACTGATAAATAAAAGTAGGCTCCAATTAAGTGTCATTAAAAATGGACTTTATGAAGGCAAGAGCACTGAGGAGGATTCCAGGAGTCGTGACCCTGTAGAGGTTCTGTAAGAGTTTAAGAATAAAAGTATGTAGATGCTTTAATTATGTAAATATAAAAGCTGATACGCAGAAGCTATCTTCTTTGTACTTATTCAGTTGTAATGTTCTGTAAAGTGGAATGTGAAGTAATGTTACCCTAGATCAATGGCTTTTATGTGGATGTCAATCATTCTAACAAAAATATCTATATTAAGATCAGCTTCAATATGAATTGTCACTGAGATATTTTTGTTTTTATTGTGGATTATCATATTAATTAAAAAGTATAAACAAGCTAAATAATCGTTTATATTTTTTTAAAGATAAAAATATTACCTATTACCCTTGAAAGCCTGAGTTAATAGACTCCAGCAATAAAG